AAAAGAAAGAAAAGAGAAGAGAGCGAGAGAGAGAAAAGAGAAAGATGATCGAGGCCACATCGCAGGAGGCTGCCGTAACGACCAGCCAATCCGCTAAACCAGTCGCTGGAGAATGATAGCACGCCGGAAGAGAAGCCTAGACCGCCGGAAGAGGAACCCGTTTCGCCGCTCGCTTACGTAGTGCAGGAGGGGGAAACCGACTGGGGAAACCGGTCTTCACGCTGGTGAAGAACACCAGCAAGTCGCCAATGTTAACAAATAACAAGGAGATTGCCGGAGCTCCATGCCGCGCCGCCACCTTACTTCCGACGCTGTGATGTAGGAACGACGCAGGTCTCCCTCTTCCTGAGGTCGCCGGTGCCAAGCGAGTACCGAAAACGGAAAACTCCGGTACTATGTATTTTGTCCTTCGTCTTTAATGCGTTTGCTTCTATCCTTTCAAATTAAGTATTGGACCGGATAATAACAATCTGTTAAATAGGAATATAATTTGAGATGAATATATTAAAAAGTGAAAAGGGAATTTTTAGATTGATTGTTATTATAACCGGACTGATTAATACGGAGTAGTTAACTTAAAATACGACTCTACTACTTTTAGACTAAATTAAGTTAATATATATTCGCACATGAGATTAATAATTAAAATAGCAAGATAAAGTGATAATTAATATATTTAAAAAAAATTACAGGAGGGGGGAAATTGTATAAAATATTAAGAATAGAAAAAGGTGACTAATTATATCATTTTAATTAAAAAGGTGATTTTCTGGAGACTAAAATAGAAGAAGAGAAGTAGAGGCTTTGATTTCGAGGTAAGTTTCTCTGCCGATCCAAAATTGTTTCCTCGTATTATATGCTTATTATGCATTATGTGATTAAGTGTGAATTGTGAATTTTGTGTATGTGATTTTGAGGAGATATTATATAAATTGTAGTTGAGAAATATAAATTAAGTTCTTTTGGGGTATTAAATATTTTTAAATACCTTTGCGACTAATTAGAGAGATTGAGAAGTATATCTTAATTCAAGATAAAAGTAAAGATTTTATAAGAGGTGAGCACCGCGGGAGAAATCCGCGGTGTCGGTTTTCCACATCCGGATAAATGTGGAGGGTGATTAGGGCTGCTACTACTAAGAAGTACAGTTTGAGTTTTAAGTGACATTTGGATCTATGATCCCTTTTAAGAAGAAGTTATAGTAGTAGTAGTCCGTAATCATTCAAGAATTTTAAAGGTGGGGTAGTTGGTAGACTGAGTCCCGATTACTCGTGACGACTTACTACTCGGAGGGCTTGGAATCCCTTTTTGGGGGTGTGCACACTTAAGGTAGTCGTTTCGTTTCCGCAAGAGCAGTTGTGGTACCGGCACTTGTTCGGGGTGGCCGTCCGTAACCACGGTCCACCGGGCTCAGTCGAAAGGTTGAGCACCGCCCTTCTAAATTACTAGGAAGTTAGAGAAGAAGTGATTTTTGAGATAATCAAAGAAGAAGAGAATTTTTATGGAGTGTGTTATTTTTATATAGTATTATATAAAAATCTATTTTAGCCAAACCTGATTATTTTACGGGGTTGGGTAGTACTTACTTAGCTCTAAAGCTAATTTTTGTTTTCTTTCCTTGTTTTGTTTCTGCACTTTATTTGTGCAGGTGATGGTGATTATGTTGATTGTTGATTGCATAAGTCCGAGAGCGTACTAGAAGATACCTTAGTTAAACCTAGTCGAGATTAAATACTTTACTCATGTTTTGAACACTTGTTTTGGTTTGTTTCGTTTGGGATTGCCTGTGCACTCGGCTGTGTGTGGCCGGGTGTGGCGGTAACACTCCATTTCCCTTTTTTTGTTAATTTCGCTGCAAACTTATTTCCAATTCGAATAAATAAATGAAATTTTATCTCTTTTAAATGTATTTTCGGGTGGGAAATTTGGGGGTGTTACAAATTGGTATCAGAGACTTTGTTTTACAAAATCTATTACAGGTTTTCTAAAACTAATTGAATTGACTAAATGATTTTATTAATTAGGTTTAAAGGAATCTGATTAGGGATAAATATTAAGTCTTAGGCACGTGTGAGATTGTGAGATGCTTGTGATATTTTGTGTTGTTTTGAATTAACCTTTGATGATCTCAGAATTATGTGGCGTTATGTGAACTTGGATAGTTGCTTGAAATAAGCATATTGGCGTTATACTTATTTGAGAAACATTTAGCACTAGAGAGAACATGTATAAGACTTATGTGTATATATGTTCATATGTGTTTCGTTGTGTAGGAATTTGGGTAGGGTTACTCCTAAGAAAATTTTAGATTTATGCTTCGGGGACGAAGCGTTCTCTTAAGGGGGGTAGAATGTAATACCCCGGAAATTTAAGTTAAAATTTTCGTTTAAGATAAAATAAATTGTTATGAAAGTGACATTTTTATAATAATTGGGTTGATGAAATAAAATATTTCTTGCTTAAATAATAAAAATCATTTTTTTAGAAGCAATATATATACATACCATCATACACGTACACGACTATGCAAAGTAGCAAGAAAAAAAAAATTGGACTAAAATACGTAATAACTAATCCTCCATATATACTAAGCTACTCACATAGATATAATATATAATACGTATATGTTATACCCTAGTATATACTAATATACTTCGTACTAGGTATCATATATACTAATACACCCTAGTATTAAAATAAAAAGCAATGTACGTAAAGCTAGCCCAAAGGGCCGATAAGAATCAAACTATACCCTAAACCCTTGCTGGAGGATGTGCGTAGTAGTATATATATAGGGCTTACGATCAAGGAGTTCTCCACGCATATGAACATGAAGCTGCGGTGCTATAAATCCTATAACATATACTTCGTATATTCCGTATAGCAACCTGCGCCTAACCCATCAACCTACGCTACTGCTATTCACCATACGAAAGAGACTGAGAGAAAAAAAAAAGAAAGAAAAGAGAAGAGAGCGAGAGAGAGAAAAGAGAAAGATGATCGAGGCCACATCGCAGGAGGCTGCCGTAACGACCAGCCAATCCGCTAAACCAGTCGCTGGAGAATGATAGCACGCCGGAAGAGAAGCCTAGACCGCCGGAAGAGGAACCCGTTTCGCCGCTCGCTTACGTAGTGCAGGAGGGGGAAACCGACTGGGGAAACCGGTCTTCACGCTGGTGAAGAACACCAGCAAGTCGCCAATGTTAACAAATAACAAGGAGATTGCCGGAGCTCCATGCCGCGCCGCCACCTTACTTCCGACGCTGTGATGTAGGAACGACGCAGGTCTCCCTCTTCCTGAGGTCGCCGGTGCCAAGCGAGTACCGAAAACGGAAAACTCCGGTACTATGTATTTTGTCCTTCGTCTTTAATGCGTTTGCTTCTATCCTTTCAAATTAAGTATTGGACCGGATAATAACAATCTGTTAAATAGGAATATAATTTGAGATGAATATATTAAAAAGTGAAAAGGGAATTTTTAGATTGATTGTTATTATAACCGGACTGATTAATACGGAGTAGTTAACTTAAAATACGACTCTACTACTTTTAGACTAAATTAAGTTAATATATATTCGCACATGAGATTAATAATTAAAATAGCAAGATAAAGTGATAATTAATATATTTAAAAAAAATTACAGGAGGGGGGAAATTGTATAAAATATTAAGAATAGAAAAAGGTGACTAATTATATCATTTTAATTAAAAAGGTGATTTTCTGGAGACTAAAATAGAAGAAGAGAAGTAGAGGCTTTGATTTCGAGGTAAGTTTCTCTGCCGATCCAAAATTGTTTCCTCGTATTATATGCTTATTATGCATTATGTGATTAAGTGTGAATTGTGAATTTTGTGTATGTGATTTTGAGGAGATATTATATAAATTGTAGTTGAGAAATATAAATTAAGTTCTTTTGGGGTATTAAATATTTTTAAATACCTTTGCGACTAATTAGAGAGATTGAGAAGTATATCTTAATTCAAGATAAAAGTAAAGATTTTATAAGAGGTGAGCACCGCGGGAGAAATCCGCGGTGTCGGTTTTCCACATCCGGATAAATGTGGAGGGTGATTAGGGCTGCTACTACTAAGAAGTACAGTTTGAGTTTTAAGTGACATTTGGATCTATGATCCCTTTTAAGAAGAAGTTATAGTAGTAGTAGTCCGTAATCATTCAAGAATTTTAAAGGTGGGGTAGTTGGTAGACTGAGTCCCGATTACTCGTGACGACTTACTACTCGGAGGGCTTGGAATCCCTTTTTGGGGGTGTGCACACTTAAGGTAGTCGTTTCGTTTCCGCAAGAGCAGTTGTGGTACCGGCACTTGTTCGGGGTGGCCGTCCGTAACCACGGTCCACCGGGCTCAGTCGAAAGGTTGAGCACCGCCCTTCTAAATTACTAGGAAGTTAGAGAAGAAGTGATTTTTGAGATAATCAAAGAAGAAGAGAATTTTTATGGAGTGTGTTATTTTTATATAGTATTATATAAAAATCTATTTTAGCCAAACCTGATTATTTTACGGGGTTGGGTAGTACTTACTTAGCTCTAAAGCTAATTTTTGTTTTCTTTCCTTGTTTTGTTTCTGCACTTTATTTGTGCAGGTGATGGTGATTATGTTGATTGTTGATTGCATAAGTCCGAGAGCGTACTAGAAGATACCTTAGTTAAACCTAGTCGAGATTAAATACTTTACTCATGTTTTGAACACTTGTTTTGGTTTGTTTCGTTTGGGATTGCCTGTGCACTCGGCTGTGTGTGGCCGGGTGTGGCGGTAACACTCCATTTCCCTTTTTTTGTTAATTTCGCTGCAAACTTATTTCCAATTCGAATAAATAAATGAAATTTTATCTCTTTTAAATGTATTTTCGGGTGGGAAATTTGGGGGTGTTACATGGCGCATGACAAATCTTGGGGGCAAGTGCGCAAGAGAACAAGAAGATAAAGAAACATGTTTCTCAAAATTGAATAAAAATGGAATGTCAAATCTGTTATACAATAAAAAAAAGAGTAGTAAACATTCCAATTTCCAAGTAGATGCAGAAGTGCAGAATAGCACAAGTTACAGAAAGCTTTACATAGTGTAGAACCAAAAGAGCAAATGCCTTCCCATCTGCTATCAAAACATGGTTTCATGTACTCGTCAATCAGTCATGGTATCTAATCTTACAAGGAACTAATGCACCTGGACCTATATAAGAAAAATCAACAGGGAACCAAATTTATGCAGCAATTGTCTAAACAGCTGCAGGTGTTCGTTCTTGAAGGATGCATACATTCAATCACATTTGATGTTCTTGTATATCCTCCTAACAAACAAATTAGAGCCAAGATGTCCAACAGCACCTGAGATTATCAAGCCCAGACTATCACAATCAACATCAAGCCTAACAGAAGGGCTAAAACAAGCAGAACAAAGATGTACTAAACAATTCTTTTTACAAAAAGAAAATGGAGAAAACCTACCACAAAGGATCCCCAAGCCGAGGCAGAACATCATAGTGTATCCAAAGTAAAAGCTGGTTTGAAAGAAGCCAGTCATCTTAGTCTTGATGTAATAGTAATATATAGAATATAGGTAAACATAAAGGGCAGTGGATGCAGCAGAGAAGAATGAGGTCCACTGCCAATGATAGTTCTCAGCATTAAGCAAGAAATATGTGCCCACAATAGTCACACATATTGTGACAATGATCAGTATAATAAAAACAAGGAGCATAAAGCCATAGACTTAATAGACCTGTCAAGAAAAGAAATGGAGTGTTTAATGAGTGTACACATCCCTAGCAAAAAAACTATAGATCTTGTGCAAGTCAAGAACGGTGATGAAAAGACTCACCTTGTAATTCCAGAAGGATGTGAAGACGAAGTACATTTCAATAAAAATGCTCCCAAGGGCAGCAGCCCTCCCATAAGAGAGACAATAGATGGCTTGAGATACCATTTTTTCTCAGGTATAGGACGTGGGATGGTCTTTACACGGCAAGGATTGTTTGGAGCACCATTCCAGTTTCTTCCAAGAACAGTACCAAGAAGAGTAAGGGGAAAGGAAATGAAAGCCCAAATGACAAAAACAACAACCATTGTACCAAAGGGAATAGCCGCTAAAGATCCATAAGATACAGCAATGGTGTTTAAAAGGAAACCAATCCCAAAGCACATAAAAGGAAAAAGTGATGTTGTCAGAAACATTGACTTCATCCAATTTTTACCTGTCAAGATCCACATTACGTCTGTCAGATCAGATTGATATATACGAAGTATATTATATATCAATGTGTGCTAAATTATTAATTTTGATTATTACAGCAGTTTGGTCAAATTGTAATGGTTCCCAACAATACAAAAGAAAAATCAACTTACCACCATTACGTGAATACATGCCACCACTCACATAACCCGAAATGAAAGATGTAAATGCATAACACACAATAAAGGTTGTAATAATTGATCCTCTCCTGAACCATAAATAGAAAACGAAGCATAATATCAGAAGTGCTACAAGAACAGAGAAGATTCTTTATACAAATGGTAATACAGTAGATAATAACAACACTGATAACAGTAGAAACGGGTAGCTTAGATTAGAATGACACAGACAAGGTTGGATATCCTCGAGATTTAATGCATTATGCTTGCAAGTGAAAACTTAGGGATGTGGGTTCAATGGGATTTAGGAAATCCTGGTTGCAAGCACAGTATGATAACAGACAATGGGAAAGCAACACAAATAAGTGGAAAACATATTAGTAATTCCTTCACAAGAGCATGTCACGGACATACCCTACATAGAGCATTCCATCAATTGCCAATATAATGACAAGGAGAACAAGCATTGCGAGTTGAGCCCCAGTGCCGACAACAGCCGAAAGCAAAGATAAATACTGTGGTGGTCCACCCAGACTCTTCATTTACATCCCGTTCCTGTGCTTGAGAAGTTAATAATAGAAATGCTTTAGGTACTACGTCTTCTCATATAAAGAAATCGAACGGACACTATTCCAATATGCATCATGAAAAGCATTACCAGAGATTCCAAATCATCATCTTCACGTGCATACTTGGCATAATCGTGACGGAGAGTGCGCATAAGAATCATTGACACCAAGCCAGTGAGGAAAATAACCATCATGAACGAATTGAAAACAGAAAACCAGTGGATCTGTAAAACATATTGCTTATGAGACCAATCAAGTAGAACAATGAATAGTTGCTAAGTTTATGTTGTCAAATTTTATCTTATAAACAAGGTTCGAACTTCTAAGAGATGTTTTATTTTTATTTTGGGTTTTATCAGATGATCGATTTTAAACATTTTACTCCTTTTAAAAAAAGTCAACTAGGCATCTCTCTGTCAAGGGATAAAGACTAGAGTTCACATGGATTGACGGGCATGTCCCCCAATTCTAAGTGTAAAACTTCAGCAAAAATTACGAAATTAAATTTCAAGTAAGATATTAAAATGTTTATACAATAATGGCTCTAACGAAATTAAATATCTTAAGTATTTAATTATTTAAGATATTTAATTATTTAATGAAAATGTTTATAAAATTATTTCATTATTAAATAATGAAAATTATTTAATTATTGTGCAGCCATGTTTTACTACTTACCAGCTCTCACCCATTTTTACCAGCTCTTAGAATGATTGAAATTCAATCATCAAAATATTGACATCTAAGGCGGTGAGCATAGGAGCAAAACACCCACCCTAGCGGGTTAAACTTATCCCCCCTGTCTCCCTCTTTCCACGGTTCATTCATTTCTTCTAAACTTGTTGAGCATACTATTGGGGAAAAGGAATAGTGATATAACAGAACTGTTGCACTGTTAAATATATGCTTACAATTTATTCCCTGGGATGAGATCGTGACAGGATATGTTCTACGAATTCTATGAATAAGTACCTGGTGCTCAAAGAATGGGTAGTCCAAGTAAACATCAAAACGATGTGCATAACTGGTGTTAGTTGGAGTCCAACTGACTGAGTATGTCAAGTCTAATGTCTTTCCTTCCTCAAGGGGTTTAGGGCTCTCTTGTGAAAGGTTAACATGAATTATCTACAAGAGTAACATCTCAAACTCAGCAAGAGAAAAAGTACCACCACTTAACAGTTAACACTAGAGACAATTCATATCTACCTGGTTCCCATTATACTTCACTAAAATGTTTTTATGTGTATAAAACATGTGCTTATTATCTTGGTTTCTATCAGGAAGCACCTCACCAACGAAACCTGAAATTTGTCCACAACATCATTGTTAATCTCACTTATGATTCAACTGTCCAATGTACACATTAAAAGATATAGAAAAAGGTAAGCGGGAAGTGATTAGTTGTTTGCATACCCCATATAGCGGCAAATCATCTGATGGCAAAATAGGAAAGCCATTATGCAGATTGGCACAGTCAATAACACAACACAAGAAAAAGTCAGTGATGAAAGTGGCAATAACAATCATGTCACATTTAATTATAGGTTGTTCTCAGGAAACTCTTTTATTTCAGGATGCAAAGAATACTCAGTATATGTAAGAGGGCCAATGTGTATACCCATGAAAAACTCAAGCCAGTATGAATTATCAATTGCATCCTTAAACTGTTTAACCTTTGCTGGATCCAACTCAAGTTCACAAACAGAACCCCTATCCACATTTCCTAACAAGCAAATAAATAAACATTGTAAATAAAGTAAAAAAAAACATTGTAAATAAAGTATTAGGGCAAATAAAACATGGTATAAATAAAATTGTGATTTCACATACTCTTAAACTTTATGTCAATTTTACTATCAATAAGCTCGTTTCCCCCGAGGACCTCTCCAAGGCCGCCCCACTTGTGTGCAACATTGCCAGGTGGGTGACAAAAGGGGAGGCTATAGTAGTTGTATGTCTCTTGTGGATTATTATATGGCCCAACCTTGTTTACCCATAATATGACAGGATCATTTTCTTGGTACTGCAGAATAATTCAGAAACAAAATTAGTCGCAACAAATTACAGGATGGAACAAGAAAGTAAAATTTACAAAAACAAATTCATTTTCAATCAAAAGTATAAGAAAAATAGGATGTGCCTACTGCCTATTCCATGAACCAATGCCAAAGACATGAATAGAGGAAAGTTGTTTCCATACATATCACTCAAGAAGGTAGTAGTCAATAATGAGTGTGATTTTACATTGAAGTAAGACTGTAGTCTGTAACAGTAATTATACTTTACCACAAGTCCTCCGCTGACAATTCACTGAACGTCAACAAAGAAATATGTTTAACTCCCAAATACGGCTCTAAAACTAGAAAAAATAAGCTAATTCATTAACTTCGTGAAGAGATCAAATGAACCCTGCTCTATGTTGTGCTGGTCACTAACACAAGCACAGATTGATTGATGAGGCGATCAACAATGGCATCTTTTGCAGTTATTTAATCAGTTCTAATTGTTAACTTCTTAAGCCTTAACCTATAGTTACAAATCCAATAAACTCCAATATTTCCCAAAATCTATTCTTCAAAATATTAACCTATCTTAATATATGTTCCCAGCGTACTCCAAAAAGAAACACAGGCACAAAGAGAGACCAAAAATAGTGGGATGTAATATTGTGTGTAAGTGCACCACAAAGCTTTACCACAAGACTGTGTTCTGTGAGGATCTATCTCCCTTGAGATGGAGCATGTAGATCAAATTTTCGAAGTTGTTTGCATGTGTACATCAAACCCTTGTTGCATTTGGTCCCAAGAATACTAGAAGCTGTTTAAATTGAAACATGCATCTAGTATAGTATTCAAATATAACTATTAACTATAATAAATGTAATTTATTTTACCTAATCCGCTATGCTTCCACTATTTACCGCGACCCTATCCACTGTATTTACATTGCAGTTTTTTTACTTCCTGCTATCCAGTATCCACCAAAGTGGCCGATCGGTTAAGACTTAAGACACAAGTATAGGTCCCAAAATGGATTCTTCGAAATATTAACCTATCTTCATATATATATATTTCTAGTATATTCTAAAAAGAAACAATGTCTTATTATACAAAGAGAGACCGAGAATAGTGGGATGTAATATTGTGTGCAAACGCGCCACAAATCATTATGCAAGACTGTGTCTTTGTGAAGATCAATCCCCCTTGAGATAGAGCATGTGGATCAAATTTTCCAAGTTGGTAACATTTGTAGATCAATCCCTTGTTGCATTTGGTAACAAATGTGGTGACTGTATCACCACAAGAGACCTTCTCGCAAACAAACAGACAAGTAACTTAAATATGTTTGGTTAATTCAATCAAAAAACATCATCATAGAGCCTAGCATTTACTACATTTAGGGGCTTTTTTTAACCCACTTGTCCTTATGCTCTGATTGGGCCCACTAGGATAATACTAACATGAGATTCAATAGGATAAAAGCATGTTACATATCTTAATAGACATCTAAGTTTGAAAAAATGTATAACTTATTACACTTTATACAGTTAAGTTGGTCCATGTGAAGTGACCGCTACTGGAATGCTTGGGCAGGATAGGTGAGGTTAGTTGGTAACTTTGTGTACGGTTTGTTAAATGGTGCTTAAGTATTTTTTTCCTATTTATGTGGCAGGTATTGTAATCTTTCAAGTATATAGGGAACACAAAGTTTTCTCTTTATCTTTTATGCATAGTAAACATTATCAGTGGCCCACCAGTTCACACTTTTCCGATGAGTTCTCAATTTTACAGAAGAAGTTTACCCACTGAGAACAGTGCCAATAATGGTTCTTGGTTGAATTCGTTATGTCTCTTTTTCCTTCACCCCCATTACAAACCAACATCACTGTTCCCTCCCTAATCACCCAGAAGACCACAAAACCTCAAGGACAACCTTTGCCTGCAGAAGTCTTATTTGGTGAGCTTGATGACAATCCATCACAGTAGGCACCACTGGAGGCCTACTGTTTTCTTTCAAATGATTCAATTACACCGATTTCACGAAGCCCTCCAGCAAGTGGCCTTCACCTGTAAACTGTACATTTTCTGGAGATCATATAATCGTAATATGTGTCACAGACTCACAGTTGTCTGAGCTGACCACCATTGACCAACTCACCACCCAACTCTAAGCATGTTAAAAGGCTATTGGTTTATCCTTTACTAGATTCACCAATTCTCTAATTCATTGGACTTCATGTATTTTAACTTGGAACCCTGGTACATCAACTGATTATTTATTTAATTCAATTTAAATATGCATTTGCTATAATTTAGCAGGGACCTGATTCTTTGGTTTGATTTTTTCGAACTTAGCTGATAGATCAATAACTCATTTTAGTACCAAAGGATGGATCCCATTCCTGAAGTCCATTAGAAATGAAAATTTACCATTTATTTATCCATGTGGTGTTGGATTCAAGATGAAAGCTACATACTTTTAGTTTCTATCTTGTAAAAATATCTAGATGATTGCATACATGCTAATGTCAAAAAAGTGAAAATTCTGTTTTTATTCCAAACAATCACTCCCCTTATGAAAGGACGAACTTTGCATGAAATTTCCATTGCAGTCTAACACTAAGATATGTAAAACCTCCCTTTAGTTATGGTTATCCAACCAGCAATCATACAGAATCAGTATATCAAATCATCCATCTTGTGATGGATTCTAGTATTCCACTATGACAAAAATCTGAAATTCCATGGACCAACTATGGTATAATGTCGTAAGTTGTCAATAGCGTTTCAGTTTCTATGTAGACGCACTAAAGGTGAAAGTATGAAGTAAACTAGCAGCGAAGAAAGAACTTCTGAATCTAGACAGTTAGAAATGCATAGTAAAAGCCAAGATCTGCGCATGTTCAGACGAGTAAAATCGCTCGATATATATCACACAACATTCTAAAGATATTACCTTTCCTACAACCGTACGGGAGAGGAAGAGTGCGCAGAAAACGAGAATGGAGATAGGTTGGACGGAAGAGATCATCAGCTCTTGCTAAAAAGCTTTAGCCGTTGGTTCCGGAAGAGGTGTTTCGACTTTATGATTCGCAGGAAGTTAAAGAGATAAAATGAAATCGAGGTCCTTTCTCTTGCTGGATCTAAGCAGGGATTTTCGGGCCTTTAGCAACAAGACAACACGCTCATAGTTTTGGAGGTGATAGTGCCATCAACGTAACGTCAAGCTGGGTAGAAAGCTTTTTACCGCTATTTCAATATTTCCTGGCACAAGATGAGAAGATTGGGACGGAAAATTAAAGCTAAAAATAATTTAAACGTCATAAATTTTAAATTGTGTGAAATAAGTAAGAAAATAAGATATTAACTATTTCATTTCCATAAAAGAGAAATAGAGACATATTATGAATTTTTTACACATTTTGTGATATTACCATATCGAGTGAACAATCTATATCGCTATTTATGATTTGTATACTCATAAAAGATCAAAAGAAGCAAACAAGTGGCCTACCCCTCTATTTAGGGTTTCATTTATTCTCCGCTACGTCTTCTTCGATGAAGTGCAGCAGCCCAGGTTAGCAGACGAAGCGCGTCAATCGGGTACGACACGTTGGGAAGAAAAAACATGGAATCCATTGTCAACAAGCATGATAATTTGGCTATCGGCGGGGAAGAGAAGGAGTTGATTTTCAATGAGGAGGTCAACAACGATGGGGAGGATAGCGAGTGACGAGTTGACTTTCCGGTTGTCGGTACAATTCTCACTAACAGGATGGTGAAACTGCAAAATTTTAAGGATCTTATGGCTTCATTATGGCATTCAGGGAAAGGAGTATCGGTCAAAGAAATCAGGGATACAAGGTATCTGTTTACTTTTTATCATATTGTTGATATGCAACATATTTTGGGCAGTGGCTCGTGGTTGTTTGAACAAAATTTGTTGATTCTTAGGGTTGGTATGTCGGGGGATATACCCCTGAAGGTTCCGCTAAATGTAGCAGAATCTTGGTTTCAAGTGCATAATGTGTCATATACTCATATGGTTATATGACTTTAGGAGTGGCTTAACGGATTGACAATTTTATTGGAAGTTTATCAGTTTTGAGGAAAGTTTATTTGAAGGAACATGGGAAGCTTATATTAGAATTGAAGTCTATGTGGGTGCAGGAAAACCTTTAAAGGTGGGAACAACCCTTGAGAAATAACAGGGAGTTGAACATTGGGTGGATTTTAAATATGGAAAATTACCTAATTTTTGTTTTGTGTGGAGAGCTATTGGTCATACTAACAAGTATTGTT